ACATAACACGTAAAATTTTCATTACGACGCACGTGAAATCTTGTATTTAAAATTAAATGATTAGATTCTTATGAAGTAACCGTGAAAACCTTATTTCGAACCATAATTGCTCGATCGCCATCTAACATACAAATATTTCGTGCTAACAGGACAGTTTTTGGATGCCATGAATAGGTTGCTTCAACGACGGTATTTCGTCCCATTTCCGGTTGATTCTTTTTATCCGGATTACTGCTATCATTTGATGTAATTGCTGTTGCACCTTCGAATGTTCCCCAACTAAAAATTGTTACTTGGACAGATTCCATTGTCACATCTTTTACAATACCAACTTTCCCAATATACTGAAATTAAATAATGCAAGTTCAAAATTTTAATTTGTTTCCATACTATTTCAGGGATCATTAACTAAACATTTTTTTAACGAATTTTTATCATTGAAATCTTACGGTAGCCATGCGCGAACTCCAAGATAATTGATTATAACTATGTAGGCGTTCATAAAATGAAAAGTTATGATGCGCAATACGAACTCGATCACCTTGCCGCATTTCGATCACATCGGCCACCTTGTTGGTGGAAATTATAAAATATATTAAATTCTAAAAATGATTTGAAAGAAATAAAAATACTCACATATTCGTAGTTTTAAAGCAAAGTGTTAATTTATTAGTTTTTACTCAATTAATTTTAATTAGTAATTATTTTAAGTAATTTCCAATTAGTCAATCAATAAATATTCAGCAAAAAATTTAGCAGCATAATAGACTAAATATAGCAAAAATGTCTTTCAACCTAAAACATTAACACTTAAATAATTTCTTGCAATACGATCAAATAATTTCAGAATAATTCTCGAACTAAATCAAATTTGATCGAAATTAAAGAATGGATTGTTGAAAATCAAAGTCTTAGCTAATAAATTATTATAAGATCTTCGAACAACAAAAAGAAAATATTCCGGAAATCCTGAACCGTTTCTTTACAGTTTCTTCCCCTTTCATCAAATGCAATTATCCGTAAAAACTGACCGATAAAGTGAAAAATTTTACAATGAAAATGCCAACAGAAATTTGAAAATTTTCTCTTCCAAGTTAATAATACTATACCAAAAAAGGAAACTTAAGTAAAATGAAAAATTTGCATAAAAAAGACAAAAACAAAAACTTGCTGATATCAGAAAATTTGCATAAATAGGATGAAACATTCTTAAATCAATAAAGGATATTTCATTATTGGTGTGTTTCTGTACGCTAAGCGGTTGCCACTCTTCGGATCGGTTAATTATAAATAAACGTATGTGTTCAGAAATTTTTGAAATTTTATTAAATTTTGAAAAACCTGAGTTTGTTTTAATTTTTTCTCAAATTTAATTGTTTAATTAAAGCAAAAATATCCTATTATTTTCAGGTTATATTAGTATTATAGAAAGATCAACGAAAATGGACGTATGCGAAGAAAGTGATGGAAGTACTCAATCAGACTTATCCGATGAAATAATTGATGAGGAGGAGACCGATAGTTCAGAAGAAGAAAGCATAATGATGCAGGAAATTTATCGAGTTGTTTACTTATCATATTTTATCACTTCAAAAACTAATATTGATTTCGGATAATTTATTACAAAGATTATTATTCTGTAATCAAATATTCATATTGAATTGATAATTATAATCAAATTGGCAAATAATTAAAGTAAAAATATTATTAATCAGACAAATTACTAAATTTCTATGATTTCTTATATAACTTTTATAAAAGTTATTTTATAATAAATTAAAGTTGTATGAATAAGAATTCCATAAATTCCACCAATTATCTTTTAATTTCTTCAAAAATTGAGGAACGAGCACGTCCGGATTCAGTATTTTCTACACTGACCGCAGCGAATAATCGATTATCAAACTATGCAGCTCAATATTATAATCCTGTTCATGTAAATTATCATTGATTAATTAATCATGACTTTCTAAATGTCATTTACTAATACCTTTTATTTCTTTTATTTCCTCATTCTCTTTATCTCTCTCTTTTTTTGCTTTCCTGAAGTTCATTTGCCAATATTATATTCCAAAAAATTTTTAGCTGACAATCTATCCACCAATGAATGGATTAAATGTCAGTCCGGTTTTTTACACCAATCCACCACCGCCCGAACATGTCATCGATGATCATAACGTAGCAAATTATGAAGAAGTTTCAACAAATTCTTATTCTTATCCTGCGCCGCCTACCACAATTTCATTATATTCCGAAATACAACGTGCAAGAGCACCAACTTCTGATGGTTTGGTCTTGAAGGATGACAATATCGTTTGATTTCTGATAAAACAATATCGATTTTCCCCGAAAAAGAATTTATTAATTTTGAATAACAGTTTTACATTTACTTCGGTTATTGGATATACAACTATAATGCTTGATTTTCAGGCCCTGAACATCCGCCATCATCAATTCTACCGTTATCCACTTATTCGAGTAATGAATACGTACCTCCGCCGTTTAGAGCACCAGTACTACCGGTTCCATCTTCCAATGCTACCAACAATAATCCACCTGTATCAGTCAATAATCCACCTGAATCAATCAATAATCCGCATGAACCAATCGATGATCCATCTACACCAGTTCAAATGGATTCATCTGAACCAATTACGCCATCACAGCAAACAACTACTCTGATGGAAGCAGCTTCACAAGGTTNATGGAAGCAGCTTCACAAGGTTGCCTATTACAATCATAACTTTTCCACATTTTATTGCAGCATATCACACAATTTGAAATATACTGATTAAAATTTCAAGAGAATTATCGATGATAGCAAAATTTGAAAAACATCAAGTATTTGAATGCTTCAAATTGATAACTTACGATATGATTAACTTTTGATATGGCTATCAATTCGACATAGCAAAACGAATTTAAACATTTATATATTAGTTTTTCCTTTCTTTTTGATAGATGAACCAATGCAGCAAGTTAAAAAGAGAGGTCGTAAACGCTTAAATGATAATGCTAATGGCGCAGGTGATGCAAATATTACATCGAATGATTCGACCCCGAAAAAACGTGGAAGGAAACCTAAGGATAACAATGATTGCATTGATGGAAAAGCAACCGATGCTTCGTCACGTGAAGTTATAATTTTATGCAAATTTCTGTACAATGAAAAAAAGAGAACGAAATATTTTTAATGAAAAAAAAGAAAACGAAAAATTAGAAAATAGTAAGGAAAAAATTGAGCACAGAGAAATGGATAAAATCATGCAAAAGAACATATAAAAGTGATTATATCATTTAATTTGCTAATTCATGCAAAATGAGATATAAAGTAAAATTTAAACTAAAAAATTCTTCAAATGATAGGCAGACATTTCAGTTTCAGATTTTCCAAGCTCATTAATAATAAATGTTATTAATGAATAATAAATCAGACTTACCGGATAACATATATTATAATATACAATATGGATAAATTATAACATATATTTGCTAGAAACTTATTGAAGCGTATCCTGAGAATTCCTACAAAAAGATTCATTTTTTTTGCTAATTAAATTTAAGAAGCTGAAAAAATCAATAAATCACACTTTTCATTATTGTAATCCAAAAGTTGTTTATGCGTCAGTTATAGCAAATTAAACTTATGTTCATTCTCAAAATTTGATTACTTTTAAAAATGCTGTAACAATGATATATTTAAGATCCCTTGTCAATCGATCAATGATACAAACATGGAAAATATCACAGCAAATGCCAACGAAGCTCAAAGTGATTAAATTTTATCATTATCAAGTTTTTTCATTCCTAATATTTACAACAATATCGTTTAGTAATGGATAGGATATTTGATTAAAATTCAATCACTCATATCTTTTAAGTTTTAAGATACTCCATTTATAAGCTATTCGTGGATAATTGCTATTATATCAAATCATCTCATAAACATGTAATAATTTATGATCGATAAAAATTTTATTTCCATTAATTCCATTTTGCATAATTTGACAAAAAAATAAATTTTGTTGAAAGACAAAATTCTGAAAAATCAATTCAATCATTAACAGAAGTAAAAAATGTCGATGAGATGGAGGAAAAGACCAAGAAAAAGGGTTCGCGCAAGAAAACTGACATAAAATCTGATGGAACAGCGGAAGATACGGTCCGTTTTCAAGTTTAAAGAGAAATCATTCATTTCTAATATTTTAATTACCACATAATATAGAAAAGCTTGAAGATTATACTAACTCTACAAAAATCAGTCAATAAGAAATCTTCAGAAAAAAACATATAAATAAACTTTATGAAATTACTTTGCAGAATATAAATTGTTTGTTTTAATTTTAGAAAAAGCAAAATTCAGTAACCGGAAAGACATCAGCTACAAAGAAGCAATGCATGGAAGAATTATTGAACAGTCAAAAAAATCGTATGGCATTTCCGGTACGAAATTTTAAAATTATGATGCCTAAGTTTAATTGAAAAATTTCTATTCTTTAGACAAACATACTGGTCTCCTAACTTGCTTAAGTAAATTGGTAACAATCATCATTTCATGAATCTTTTCTGTTTTTGGATTAGAAATAATATCGTAAATATCACTTGCAGAAAGGTACCTTCCTGATCCGATATTGCGATTTGGAAACACTGGACTGCGATCAAATTTGGTGTGTAGACAACCATCACATGCTACTCAAATATCGCCTCACTTCACATATCGAAGGGAAACGTCGCCTGTATTTGAAATCTCAACCTGAACGAGTAAATTTGAAACGTGATAAAGCAAAATAATTTAAATAGTTCAAGTGCGAGCTAAAAGCTACAGGATAAAATACCAATGCGCTTATTAGAGTAATCAATCTTTAACAATTCTTTTTGTGTTTTAGTTCGTTGGCTGGAAATGTGAAGAACCATGGCATTTTTATGAATTAACGGTTCTTGAACGTGACCGCGACAATAGCAAAGTCCTAATATTATATCCGGATGCTAAAGAATTGGCGGAATCCCGTGAAAAAGCAAAACGGCAAAAACAACTTGCGGAAGAAATGAAACAAGGCTTGAGTGGATTGGGCACTTCTCATAGTTCTGATGGTATTAAACAAAGTTTTGGTGAAATAGAGGAAAATCCGGCAGTACAAAAGGATGATACTTTCATGGTATTTGAAGATATTTTCATTTTAATAAACTAATTTTTAAAACTCCAAATGAAGGATCAGAAAGAATATCGACTTCCAATATTTTATCACATCGGATAGAGATTTGACAGAAATTAATTAATTGTTTAATCAACAAAAATCAATTAACTACTTCATCAGAATATGAAGGTGAAGGAAATGATATAGCAAAACGATGAACAGTAAAATCATCAAAATTACAGGACACTGAAGATGAGCACATGGATGAGCAGCGAAATATCGAAGTTCAGATGGCCGATGAAGCAGCAAATGCAATCGAACGTTTCATTACGATTCGGGATCCTCACTTTGCTGAAATGGATGGACAGCCTGTAGTAGAATCGGTTTTTGTCGATCGTTATACCGAAGAAGGAATGATCATCGGGGAAGATGATAATGAATAATAATGTCAATCTTTCATTAATAATTTTTTTCATACCTTTTTTGTTTATTCGTTTATTTATTATTTTCTCTAATCATTTTATCACTTTTATTTTCTTCTTTAATCTTTTTATCACTTTAATTTTCTTCTCTAATCATTTTATCACTTTATTTTCTTCTTCAATCTCTTGATCGATTTCTTTTCTTTTCAAACTATTTTATCAGTTTACTTTCTTCTCTAATTGTTTTATCGCTGACTTATCATATGTTTTTGGATAATTAAAGATTTTATTTTCCTTTTGAATCTTCCAATTAAAGTGTTCTTTCCATCACAAAACAGCAAAATGAAGAAAATTTTATCAATCGGAAAAAGTTTATCAAATTTAATTTTCATTATTAAATATATTTTGATTGAAAGAAAGAAAAACGATTCCAAAATTCCATCTATCCTTTTAAGGTAATTT